GTGTCCTGTCATGTGGCTGTCGTGGCCTGTGTTGGGGGATTTCATGTGTGCTGTCCTTCGGAGTCACGAGGTCCTTGGGGTAAAGTGTTTTCGTGTTCTTAACGGTAAAGTAGGTTAATGCAGTGCTAGGTTTTAGTTTTTTTGAAGTTTTGCTCGTCCATTGTTGTACGGGAATAGGAAGGCTGAACTGTTGTTGGGCCATGTCGTCATAAAGAAACCTCATGTTGTTTAACTTATGATGGTGTTTCCCATCCTCCTCCTCGCGGTAAGAGAATTTTCCTTCCTGCATGGAGACGGCTTCATTTTGGACTGAAAGGGGCCTTCATATCACGTGATATACAACTTTCATTTTATGGAGACGCCTTCTTTTTGGACTGAAAGGGGCCTTCATATCACGTGATGTATATGTTTCATTTTATGGAGACGGCTTCTTTTTGGACTGAAAGGGGCCTTCATATCACGTGATGGACATGGGCTCGTTTTATGGAGACCACCTTCATTTTGGACAGAAGGGGTATTCAAAGCGTAAGGGACGTTCATTCTGAGCTACCTTCATTCTGTAATGAAGTGGTCCTCATTCTAAATTGAATCATGGCCCTCGATTTGGTGTGGAATGAAGGGTACCTTCATGAAGGTATGAAGGGTCTTCGTTAAGGTATGAAATGAGTGTGAATCGCATATAGAATGAAGGCTCCAGGTTCCCAGAGTGCTGGGTGTAGGTGCGTAGGTGGGGTGCATTTCGCTTGCCTTGAGGGAGGAAGATGGCACATGGAATGGACGTGGTCGGGTGAACGGCAGCACTGCCGGGGGTATGGGATTCTGGCATGTTGGCCGGTTTGTTGATGGCAGCAGTGTAAGATAGGGGTCGGTTGGCGGTGGGGATCAAGGGGGGATTGTGTTCCAATCTTCTGTATTACGCACACAAGTTAGCTCCATGCCTAATCATTAGGGTTGGAAGTCATCTAAATCTAAACTTCTAAACTTATATGAGAAACTTTAGAAACTAAACTGAGATATTAGATGGCATTTTTTGGCGCCTTAGTTGTACGGCAGCTCCGAAATCTTAGGTGAGACCTTAGGTAGTCCTGAGAAACTTTAGATGAACCTGTCTGAGGACTCATCGAATGGTTACTGAGTTACATTCCCAATGGCTGACGTCGGTGAAGTGAATCATCGTAGCGACGAATCGACATGTCCATTTACATTGTCAGTGCGCTGTCAAGTCTTCGGTTTTCACGGGGTTGTCTCTTTTTATTGTCTTGATCTCTTCTGTAGCAACAATGATGCCTGGAGTAGGGTCTGCCGTACACACCTGGGGGAGCGTTTCACCTTTTCAGTTCCGGGATTTGAATTGGTGTGAAATGTAATATAATATTTATTTCCTTGTCTCCGTCTGTGATCAGCCGATGCTCTCTATCGGCGAGTGTGTGGGGGTTTCAGGTAAGGTGTCGCCACGCGCCATCCTTGAGTTTTTAAATTCGGCGAGGAGACATCACGGGGTCAGGTCGGGGGTTCGCGACCCTGGGTGAATAGGCTGTGACAGGTCGACAGTTTCCTTAACCAGGAAGGAGGGTAGGATCCGGGCTGGAATTAGGGAGGAGCTCTGTCGCAGAATTAGCCTGGATTTTATTCCTGACAAAAGAATTGGTCTGCCGAGGTCTGGAATTGTTCTGGCGGACTCGCCGGAGGTATTCGAATTGCGCTGTGGAGCCTCGGAATTGGGCTGTGCTGGGCCTGAATTGGCCTGTCCGGGTGTCGAATTGGCCTGTCCGGGTGCCGAATTGGCCTAACAGGGTATTGAATTAGCCTGACAGGGTATCGAATTGACCTGTTCGGGGTGTCAAATTGGCCTGACAGGGTATCGAATTAGCGTGTTCAGGGTGTCGAATTGGCTGTCAAGTTGGCAGGATTGGCTCGGGCAGGCATCCAAAAGCACATGACTTTTAAGGAATTTACAGAAAACTTTGCAAGAGGACCGCTTACAAGTGCCTCATGTGTGTATTAGTTTCGATCCCACGACATGGAGTGGGAAAACTTGCACACCTGGTTACCGTACTCTGGCACTACTACTACTACGGGAGGAGGGCACTCAGGGCCACGACTGCATTACCCAGTCAAGTCAGCCGCCGAGGTCCCACTGTTTTCCCACCACACTTCATCGGCAGTTCGTCCAGTTTATCCCACAACACTCGTATGCATGAATAGGTTCGGGTGGAAACAATGACAAATCTCTGATACACCGCTAAACTCAGTACCACGAGCTACATTGAAAACAAATGAAAATGCAGATGTCTGCCGAGAAGAATATGTTCACCATATGCAATCTATGCCTTAATCCATCGAGCTCTCCGTTGGGCGGGGCATGGCCCATGAAGTCGCCCCCGGTATTCCGCCCATGCAACCAAACACTGACACAAAACGTTGCACGCCTGGGCCCATGTAAACCACGACACTTCCGTTTGGATTGGCTACCCGCGCTCCCCATGTCAGGGGTCCTCCCTCCTGCTGTTGACTCCCGGATTGCCCACGCACAAACGCCAAACGTTGGCGCAGAAAACAGACAGGCCATTGTAGTATGGCATCAAACCACGCACAACCCACAGCGGCTTTCAGCAGCAGTGCTGCTTGGTGAATGCGACCGGCCGTGTACTGCCAGTCTTAGCACCGATGAACCACCCCCTGATGCCGCCGCTGATGCAGCAGGCATATGGGTCTACACCGCCGAGCTCTGACCAGTTTGTTTTGAACTCGCCTACACAGGGTTGTAAAACAAGGGGGGCATTTCTGTTGTCATATGGTTAGGGTATCCCCTGGGTTTAGAAGCGGAAGTCTTCTCATCTCAATCTATTGAGATCTCATTAGATCTCAATAGAATGGGTTAGATTCTAATCTCAAGTTTTGGCAGCTTTCTGGGAAATGCATGACTGGCTCTGAAACTTTGTAGGATGATTCTGTATGGTATATTTGTTATAATAATTAAGTTTTGGGACGTTGTGAAGCACAATTGCACGACAGAAACAAGCCATTATACTCCACCGCAGTATTGAACCATGGGTCAAAGCATGCGAGGGCGCACTGGACGGTCGAGTACACGTCACAGGCGCTTATCCCTTTGATGCTTCTTTAACTCCATATCCTAAGGGTTAAGGTTTCAACGAATCAGGGCCCAGATCATCATTCCTAAGCCCTGGCAATGCACAAAAGCCGACATGGTATGCCATCAAGATCCCATGCTGGCCAAGTTCAGCAGACATAGACTGCTACCAATGCCGACCGAACAACTTGAATCCCTAGCTACTTCACTCCTCCTCATCCCCGGCCAGCAGCTGCATCACCACCTCCTCATCCGACAGGGTGTTGCGCTTGGCCGTGTAGCTGTCGTTCTGGCGGATGAAGATGAGCTTCATCGCACGCATCTGCCCCAGGCGGCTGCAGGCCTTGTGGAACAGGTTGCCCCACAGCGACCAGTTGCGCTCTGATGTGCAGGTGGTTGCGTGCATGCGGAGGACGCGGTTGGCCACGAAGGCCAGGGCCAGATACGAATCCGCCATATGCACCGTCCAAAACTTCAGGCGCAACGGCAGCCCGGCCAGCTCAACCTTCTTCACCTTCGACTTGCCAACCGTCTGCTCGACCTCCTTGCATGCAGTCAGCGTTGGCATGAAATCACGGCACTCATCCTGTACCCCGGCCAGCAGGAGGTTTCCAAACTCCTTCAACAAGACCCCCTTCTTTGCCGCCTTATTGCGCTCCCTCTGCTCCTCAGTGCTGCCCTCACCCTTGCCTGCATACACCTCTGCCGCCAACTGCTTAACCGTCTCACGCTGCAACCGTCTCCTCAAGTGCCAAAAAAGACCTTCTAAATTCTCATTGAGATTCTCAAGAGAAATAATTAGATTAGAAAAACGACTTTAGATGAGTGCCAACCCTACATATGGTATGATGTTTCATAGACGTTGGTATGTATAACATTATGCAATTGGGTGGGTGGGGTGAGGTGGGTTCCTCCTTTCTAGGTTGCCCACTCTTCCCTGCCACACCGTGATGTGACATCTCACGTCGCCACTTACCAGTAGCACCACGCGACTTGACGCGGGGTGGCACATCCTCTGCTTCAGTGATGGCGGCAGGTGCACTCATCGGGACCACAGTTCCAACGCGTCCTCGACGGTGCCAGTCTCCGTGTCCCTGTGTCCCTGATCCTCCACGGCCCCCTCCAATGCCGTTTTGATCTTGAACAAGAGGGATTTCGCGTCCGAGACGGTAAGCCCGGTACATTCCCTCTCAGTGCCATGGCGGCGTGAAGCGGGGAGAGCTGGAAATCCTCTGCAATGAAGGACACATTGTCTTTCAAAACACCGTTCGCAAAGTTTCCGGTTGTTCTCGGCACAGCACGGGGACATCACCGCCCCACATCTCTGGCACGGACTCGCGCTTTTCTCTCTGTGATCAATCTCTCACCTCGGAACAGTTCCCATGCTTCACCAACGGAGTAGACGCCGAGATCTTCTTCGAATTGACGACGCACAGCATCCACCCGTTCATCGTCCCCGTCAAGCACATCGTGGAGACACGTCGTGAGAGCCGCGACATCCGACTATAGACACAGCAGAGAATTGAATAAACCCCGAGTGAAGGCGAATGGCTGCAAGTGCACCATGGCGCATTTGCATGGTTGGAAGCCACAAAGCAAGAAAGGACATAGCGCGTCATTTGGACTTCGTGTCAGCTGGTCTCGAGGGTCTCCATCTTCCGCAGTGTCCTCCAGGGCGACATCTATAGCGGCCATTTACTCGCCACTCCTACCCGAAAGTAACCTATCTTCTTTGTAATCAACGCTAAATGCTGAAGTTGGGTAGGCATGTAATACTATTGTAAGATTATCGACTGTGATACGCTCGCAACCCATACTTACATGCGCACCAAACTCTTCTTGTGGGGAAGCGTGGTGTATGCATTAATTCGTGACAGTGCGCGGCGCTGGAAGTGCTTTTGGTATACTTATACATCTCTATGCCGTTGTTGAGCAATATCTAAGGCGTGATCCTTTTAAAAAGCTGAAGGTATTTAGACAGTAGGGAAGCATTTCTAAAAATCTCGGTAAACCATTGTAATAAGTATGCCAGTTTATATTATCACCATAGGTTCTTGTGTCGAACGGTGCTAAATGAACCATGGTGCATGCATGGAGGTATTCGGGGCGGAGAAGTCTCCGGCCTCTGCTATGGAAGTCCTGGAGAAACGTCAGCTTGATTGCAGAGTCTGTGGACGCCAGCACACGATTCACTTGTGTTGCTGTGGCCACCCAGCGCCATGCACGGTCCTGTACCCACAATTTTGTGTTCAGGCGCTTTGTGGCTTCGATGGATCTAGCTGTGGAGTTAAGTATGCGTCCTTCGCAGCCTTCGCACCGGCAGTGTTGGATACGGATGCCGGTATGCAGGCCATGTTTTCAGACCTGTTGTCGCAGCGCGGGCTTCGAAGCACGGCGCCGTTGCCCGGTCCGTTACCCATGCCAGGCGCCCGTCCAGCGTGCCCCGCCTTCCTGCAACAACTAGCCGAGCGTCGGCGCCGTGGTATCGGTGGGATGTCGTGCCCTGGACTGCGCGACCAATGTTACGCCTGCCTATACGGCTGTTCCCAGGCGGGTGTGTTGGGGCCGCGGGACATTGAGGCCGCCATCATGGACACGGGCAGCGATGCAGGGCGCACGCTAGCCTGGTACCCCGGGTTGTTGATGGCATGGCGGTTTGATAATGTCAGTGCATGTGGGTCGGGCAAAGGCAAGGCTAGCGTGTTGGTCTGCCTGACAAATGTTAACCCACATGGGAATCCTGACATGGCGCCACAGGCGGATACATTCTTCCGGGATAATCAGCTTCCAGCATACTATGGCGAAATCGACTCCATCCGGTCCGTTGTCTGCAGTTTCTCCTCCGCAGCTGGACAGCCGTGTGCCTGGTGTCTGGCCCTCAACAGAAATCACCAATTGAAGCGTTCAGCCGATGCTGCTTCACTGCGAGTCGCTACGACACAGCGAGTCGCGACAGACCCACGTGTCATTGTCCCCTTCCGTTCTGCCGAGGGACTTGAGCGTGTGGGACATGTTGAGCTCTTTGAGCGGCTCAAGGTGGTCACATCCACATTGATCGCCGAGCGGGCAGATCGAATAGCGCTGGACAGGGAGATTAAGCGGCGGACATCCCTTTTCCAGGCTGATAGAGTGAGGCTACAGGCATACGCTCGGGCAGATGCATCACGCAGTGAACCCGTCCGACTGCTCGAAACATCACAACAACGAGGTATGATGCAGTGTCGGCATGCGTGAGTAGTGTAGGCTGGCGTGCATGTACACATGCCTTGACTTGTTAACCATCGGACATCGATTGACATTCAGGACTCGTTGACGGCACAATTCAACAGTTGCTGCGGGGTATCATCCGGGGTCTCAGCGTCAAAGGACAACAACGCCAGCCGGAGGAGGTAGCTTTTTACATTGCCCCTTGCAGTGACGTGGGTGTCCGTGCTCCAACCCGTCGTGCTGACTATTGACCAAATGCACATTGGCTGGCGCCTAAGGTACGCGGGCCTGCTGTGGGGTACATTAAAAGCCAGGAGCATGGCCATGCGTTCACGGGCGAATGACTGGTACCAAATAGGATCAGCAATGTCAACATCTCGTCCCAGGATCTCAACTACAAGGACAAACAGAACCAGCGCGCCACTCTCAAGTAGGCTCTATCCAACCTGGAATTAGGTACAGACTGGTTTGTGGCTGACTTACCGCCATTCACTGACAGACAGGTTGGCCGACCTCGACATGGATCCCTCAACTGGAAGCGTCAAGGCAGTCAGTGTGCTGCGTGACACACTGGAGACAGGTTCACGCAGTCCGGTTGGCGGTGATGGTCCTATCGTTGACGGCTCGTATTATGCTACCTTCCTCTATGTGACGTTCATGCATTATTTAGTAGCTGGCCGCTGAAAAGGCCTCTCGAGATGCTGGTGGTCGTGCTATGCATGTACCAGCTTACTGTGCTTACTGTGTACCAGCTACTACAGCTACATTGTGCCGGGCCACACTACTGCAGGGCAGGCGCGTGTGCTTACATTTCTTTGTCTGCGTGAATTATTGGATGTATGAATGAATGGACGAATGAAAGGTGTGGTTAACATGCCCCTGGTTTGGTTCGGTTCGGGTGGTGGTATCTTTTTGAACACATGTAGTCTGGTCGAGTGCCGGGGGCCCTTAGCAGGACTGAAGCACAGTTCAAGACGAGGCGTGTGGATATGTAGGGCATATCTAGGGCCAGGGGACCGGGAATGTACGACCGTGGGACCAGCGAGGGACCTAATTTATGTGCCTTCCGGTCCCCAGCCCATTCGAGCTCACATAAGCACCAAAAACTCAAGTATTCGCAATTTCTACGAGTGTTATAAGTAAGACGTTTAACGAAGATCTTACGTTCGCATTTAGGCACAGGCTTGACTTTGGATGAGAGCAGGACACTTTGTCAAATTCACTGCTGGTCATTGTATTAGACTCGGTTGATATAAGAGTGTTTCATGCAAGTATGGGTACTAGCGAAAGGTAACCGCTCCGATGCGAGCACGATTGCGGTAACAGATAGAGGAGCAGCTGTGAAGGTCACAAACCCACATGCGAGAAGAGCGTGGATGGTCAAGCAGCAAAGCCTCAGCAGGTACCAAACGGGTACATGTTTAGCGCAATCACAGAAGGCAGAAGTGTGGCGCCTCTCGTGCGGCTCTCGCTTAGTTCGGTTCGCAGTCTTCTGTGTCCGCTGTGTTGCCTAGCCAGGGGCTGGGACAGCGCCCTGGTTGGCGTGAGTGAGGGGGTGAGGCGAGCGCGGCGGAACAGACGGACGTAGAGCCATGCGCCCGCACGCCCCTGTGTTTCGGCCCGGTCATAGCCCCCGGTGCTTGTCCTCTCTCGGGACGAGCCGCCCACAGTGTAACACCCCATCAGAAGCAGCGGCAGCTGGACAGAGCTCCCTGCCTCACGAGCACACAAAGCAAATCGCCTTGACGTGGCGGCAGCTGTCATAGGCTCATGATGGGCCGGGGCTGCCATGTGAATCCCTGGCAGGCGCGCGACTTGCACTGCGTGTGATCTGATGATGGGCCGGGGCTGCTGTGTGAATCCCTGGCAGGCGCGCGACTTGCACTGCGTGTGATCTGATGATGGGCCGGGGCTGCTGTGTGAATCCCTGGCAGGCGCGCGACTTGCACTGCGTGTGATCTGATGATGGGCCGGGGCTGCTGTGTGAATCCCTGGCAGGCGTGCGACTTGCACTGCGTGTGATCTGATGATGGGCCGGGGCTGCCGTGTGAATCCCTGGCAGGCGCGCGACTTGCACTGCGTGTGATCTGATGATGGGCCGGGGCTGCTGCGTGAATCCCTGGCAGGCGCGCGACTTGCACTGCGTGTGATCTGATGATGGGCCGGGGCTGCCGTGTGAATCCCTGGCAGGCGCGCGACTTGCGCTGCGTGTGAAATCCTGCACACCCTACACTACACACATAACGCAATGCCCTCTTAGACCGAGAATTCATGCACTTCTTCACATACACTGAATGAATGAAGGTTACAGTGGACCCCGTGCAAGGTCGGTGCAATGCATCCCCGCATCACAATGCCCGAAAGTGAACAATAGCTACAGCCCGCCAGCAGAACACCCAAAAATGCAGAGACACCCAGCGGGACACCACTACCAAACAGGGGGCAACAGCGACGCATCGCAACTGCACCAGAAAATTATAAAGCAGGACTCGGGGAAAGTCGCCTACACAGGCACCTCAGGACACACTACCACAACCTACACACAGCCCTCCAAGGGGGTGGCGCTTGCATCAGCCAGAGCTTTGCTCGGCTCACCCGAGCAACCATCTGCAATTGAATTTGGCCCACCGTGCCCAGGGCCACGGGGCAGGCCCAGGAGTGATGCTGCCGCAGGGTGGCTCCCCCACCACCCACCGCGGGGGTCCCGCGGAGGTCCCGCAGCCCCACCAGGCCACCACCGTGCAGCGCATGTAAATGTGACAGTGTCGGAGACAATCGGTCACTTGTAATACGTTGTCCTGTGGAAAATGCACTTCGTGCGACATGCGACTTGACTTGACCCGACGAGTTGACCTGCCGAACCTCTTTGTCCTTGGAATCCTGGTTCCTAGAGTGAGCCTCCATTGCATCTCTTGGTGTTTTCATGAGTGATCGCTGCGTTGATCGATTGCGTTCGGTTCCGCAAGGTTCCGCTTGTTCTTATCTTTGGGTTCACCGTATTCTTGATGAATTTCGTAAAGCTTTTCTGGAGTTAGTTTTGGTTCTACTAACGCCACCACGTCAAAGTCTACTTTGACGAGCGGAGCCCCTTGTCCTATTATTATATGGACGCTCCTGTAGCGTTACTCTCCCGATTCTTTACGAAGAATGGAAATTGGATTGATACTTGGCCATAAAGAGTGGCTGCTTGCGCAAAGTTAATTCCTGGACTCCATGGACGTGCATCACTCCACAAAGTGCGTCGCCACTGCTCCTGCGACACTCGAGCGACCTGAAAAAGTTCCATACAAAGGTCCTCTAATGAAATGTCGCGCGAGCCGACCAAAATCTGCGAGTTGCCAGGTCGAACAGGTCGCGTCCCTGCGCGCGTCCCACTTAGGTCGCCCAGCTGGACGAGCGTGTACGGCGCCCGGTCCGCCGGCACCCGATATGTCTGCTTGTCTGAACGAAGGAATGAATGAATGAATAGACCGGGTGTTAAAATTGTGAGCGACTTGCCATGCAGACACACCTTTGGTTCTGGTCGGTTCGGGTGATGGTAACTTTTCACACATACACACACAATGTATGTTGTTACAGGGTGGTTAACTTCGCCAGCGGCCCCCTTTCCCGGGGCAGTCCCTGCTCTCCCCTGCTAGAGGGGCACCCTAATCCGTCACCCCATCCGACTTCAGAATGTATTCGTTGGGTTCGGCAACTCACCACCAGCATCCAACCAAATCTAGCGGATCAACGGCGCATCAACTTAGTTCCTGGTCAGCTCGCAATGAATGTATGGGTGAATGAGTACGGAGTACGGTAA